TATATATATATATATAAAATGTATGTATATGTATATATGTATAAAGATAGATATAGATCTCTGAGTCTTACCACAGATTTTAAACATTCAAAATCTCTGAGCCTGGGTCTAGGGAAATATGCTTTTGTTGTTGTTGCAATTTTGTGTTTTGTTCTTGTTTGTGTTTTGTGACTGGGTCTGGTTGTGTTGGCCAAACTGGTGTGATAGCACCCTGCAAATAGTTACTCATCCTAACTACTTTAGAGGATGCAGCAGGAGGATTGCAAGTTTAAGGCCAGCTGGGCTACTTAGTTAGGCTGGGGGACGGGGCTGCTCTTGAAAAAAGGGACTGCAAGTATAGCTGAGTGGTAAGCACCCCTGGGTTCCTTGATCCCAGTACTATTTCCTCTATCCCAAAATTTACACACTGGAATAGGGCTTTGGGATCCATAGTATAACATAAGATCTACTGTGATTTCTTTGAAAGGACATTTCATATTGCTTTAGGACATTTTGCTTAAATGTAGTTTAACTTTCATCTTTCTTTTTAAAATTTCATTGTTTATTTATTTATTTGTGTGTGTGTGTGTGTGTGTTGCTGAGGACCAAACCCATTGCCTCATGCATGCGAAGCAAGGGCTCAACCACTGAGCCACAACCTCAGCCCTAATTTCATTATTTTTAGTTTCTTTTAAATCATTCCAAATTTTTGGATCCTCCTTTTCAAAATTTGTCTGTAATAGTTTGTCTTCATTTGTACAGTAGGTGGTATTTAGCTGCTTAAATCTATATTAATTTCAACCTATTCTTGAACATTTTTAAAAATTCTTTTATCAATTTGGTTTTTATCCCCTAATAATGTCTTACCATAAGCCCTCTAGGGTATGAATTGCAGATGTTCCACTTTTAAAGTGAGAAAGGGGAACACTTTTCACTGGATTAGTTCTTGGTATATTTAGGAATAAGTTTTTCCATGTATTTTTTATAATACATAGTTTAATGTGGATTTTAAATAGACACTCAGTAACATAGTTTAATGTGGATTTTAAATAGACACTCAGTAAATAAAGTGAAACGTGAATTTTTCACAAAATCAACTTAAGAAAATTTATTTTAGTGAACAAGTTGTTTACATATTAATGTAGGAAGATTTGCTGTAGTGTAATTGTCAGTATCTTGAAATTTAATAAACAGTAGTATTTTGTCTTGTTTGCTACTATATAACTGTGCATAGTACTTGGCACTAGTAAAATTATTATTAAATGCATGATATAGTCCCACCAGAGTATTTATACAACTTTTTTTTTAATAGTTGTTAATGGATCTTGTATTTTATTTATTTATTTGTATGCAGTGCAGAGGTTGAACACAGGACCTCACACGTGCCAGGCAAGCTCTCTACCACTGTGCTACAACCCCAGCCCTATACAACTTTTAATCATGCCAGATAAAGTCATATGAGCCGCCTTTTTATTTTTACATTTGAGATGGTTGTTTGCCTAATCTGGCTATGATTTTGAAAGGTCCATCCTTCTACATCCAATAAATTATTCTAGTGGTATGCCATGTCTTTTAGTCATTAATTCTGTTTCAGTTTTAATGACAGTGTCCTACTTTAGGAATTTTATTGCTTTTTGCGTAGACTATTCGAACAGTATCCTGACTGGTTTTCCTGCTTCCTGTCTTTATTGCCAAACTTTTCTACCTACTCATGCTAGTTGAATCTTTTGAAGTCCAGCCCTAATCATTTGACTTTCATGTTCACCT